AAAGAAAGAAAGAAAGAAAGAAAGAAAGAAAGAAAGAAAGAAAGAAAGAAAGATAGAAAGAAAGAAAGAAAGAAAGGAGCTCAGAGACCCCCTGACCCTGCCCTGTATAAGCCATGTGAGGAGAATTCCAAAGGCATTTCAAACCTTTCTCTTTCTGCCCTTTGATATGTGACATACCATTCTCCTTACCACCACCACCACCACCACCACCCCCCTTTATTTTTCCTCTGTCCTTTTGTGGCCCTTTAAAAAATACCTAAGCTCTGAAAATACTGGGTTGTTTTCTTTCAATTTGTGGAATGAAACCCAGCAGAATAATAAAGGGGAATTTTAGAACAAGTACAGACCTGGGAGACAGGGTTTCAGTTTTACCATTACAGGCTGTGTAGCCTTGATCAAGTCACTTAACTTCTCAGAGCCTTAGTTATAAAATAAGTCTATTCTCCCCAGTTCTGTGAAAAGCATTGTCTATAACAGGAAATTGTACAGAAGTTCAGAAAGGTAGTGAAATTTACGTATTTTGAGAGGGTTGGCGATAGAAGTCACTTTTTCAAGTACAAATGAATAAAAAGAGTTTTCTAGTTTAAGTTTTATCTCTACGTAAATCTCTGTCATTATTGCTATCTGCAGTTATAAAGTGGCTTTGGCTTACCTGCCTCGCTGCATATCTCCTTTCAGATCAATCTCATCAATGCCTTTCATCCAGAATTCATTAGGAGGAATAGTATTCTCTCTCCCATTACTACCTGATTGGAAGCATTTTTATCTTTTACAGGATGGTCTAGTGAAAATTTGACTGCTACAAAAATGTGACTGGCTACAGATGATATATTGTAAAATGGCATACCTGAAATCTATATAATTTTATTAACAAACTAGAGGCCCGGTCCCCACAGCCCAGCCTGCACCCTCCCCAATCTGGGACCCCTTGAGGGATGTCCGACTGCCCGGTGGGATTGGGCCTAAATGGGCAGTCAGACATCCCTCTTACAATCTAGGACTACTGGCTCCCAACCACTCACCTGCCTGCCTGCCTGATTGCCCAACCACTTCTGCCTGCCAGCCTGATCGACACCTAACTGCTCCCTGCTGGCCTGATTGCCCCCAACTGCTCTACCCTGCTGGCCTAGTCACCCTTAACTGCCCTCCCCTGCCAGCACAGTCGCCCCTAAATGCATTCCCTTGCTGACCTTGTCGCACCTACTGCCCTCCCTGCAGGCCTAATGCCCCAACTGCCCTCCCCTGCAGGCCTTGTCTCTTCCAAATGCCCTCCCCTGCCCTCCTCTGCAGGCTTGGTCCCCACAACTGCCCTCCCCTGTGGGCCTGGTCTCCCCTAACTGCCTTCTCTGCAGGCCTGGACCCAGCCAACTGCCTTCTGCTGCCGGCCAGATTACCCCCAACAGCCCTCCCTTGCAGGCCTGGTCACCCCAACTGCCCTCCCCTGCAGGGCTTGTCCCCCCCAACGGTCCTCCCCTATGGGCCTGATACCCCACCTACCCTCCCCTGCAGCCCAAGTTGACCCCACTGGCCTCCCCTACAGGCCTGGGTTCCCCATCAACTACCCCCCCCAGCAGGCCCTGGTCTCTCAAACTGTCCTCCCCTG